TAAATAAATAAATAAAAAGAATATAACTAAAAGGAAGAAAATAGAGAGAGTTTTACTCTCTCAATACTACCTTCTCCTCCTCTCCCTTTACTTCTCTTTCTCGCTGTTCTTCGGATCATTTTTTTTTCTTTTCTACGTTTGCGTTCCTTCTCTTCTTATTCTGATTCATATGTACCCATATATATAGCCCTTGTTTTTTTAACTATTTTGACTGGCAAAAAAATTAATTTATTGCTTTTTTAATAAAAAAGTACGAATAAGTAGTCATTTTGAAATTAATTACGAAAATATAGCAGTCAAACACGCCTCTATGGGGCGTGACCGGTTGGAGAGAGACACGCCCAATGTTGGGCGTGACCTAAGCGTGACTCACACCCACATGGGGCGTGACCAAGTTGGAGAGAGACACGCCCAATGTTGGGCGTGTTTCACCAAGTGCTGCCACGTGTCACAAAAGTCAATAATTTGACCGTAAAACTTTAGAAGTCCATAACTTCTGACTCGGGTATCCGAATTAGGTAATTTTTTTTTGATTACACATAACTTTTCGAGATCTACGTAATGACACCTAATTTGACCTATTTTGTCTCTCACAAAAAAATTTGAATTCACAACAATGATACCATAATTATTAAAAATGACATGACTTTGTTACCTTATAATTATTACTAAAAATAATCTAACATTTTTATAATCATGAACAAAAACTTAAAAATCAAAATAAAACGAAAAACACTCACTTAACTTTTTAATATAAATTATTCGATATTCTGTCACCGACAGATGTTAACTTTTATTAATTATAAATTTCATAAAATTCTTCATTCAAAATTTTAAAATATATCTTAATAACATACATAATTAACCTTATCATAACTTACCATAATCATAAGGATCTTTATTATGAATGTTTCTAATCATAAGAGTGGTTTTCTGTTAATTTTTGTTTAAATGTTCTTATGGTATCATTATTGTAAATTCAATTTTTTTTTGTGAGAGACAAAATATGTCAAATGAGGTGTCATTACGTAGATCTCGAAAAGTTATGTGCATTCAAAAAAAAAATTACCTAATTCGGATACCTGAGTCAAAAGTTATGGACTTCCAAAGTTTTACGGTCAAACTGTTGACTTTTGTGCCACGTGGCAGCACCTGGTGAAACACGCCCAACATTGGGCGTGTCTCTCTCCTCGGTCACGCCCAACATTGGGCGTGTCTCTCTCCAACCGGTCACGCCCCTATGGGGCGTGTTTAACTGCTATATTTTCGTAATTAATTTCAAAACAATTACTTATTCGTAATTTTTTATTAAAAAAGCAATAAATTAATTTTTTTGCCTATTTTGACTACCTCTAATGATTACATCTAATTGATTTCTAACCAAACTAACTAAAATTTTGTCTAAATCTAACTATTCTTTACTAATGTAATAATTGCATTTAAGCTTACCAAAAAAATAATAATAATAATTGCATTTAATACAAGTCTTATCATTCTGATTTTTTTTTTACACGTTACTAGATATCTAGAAGATTCACATTTTGATAAGCTTCAATTGTTTTTTTTATTGTTATTTTTATTTAGACGTTGCTAGTTACATATATATATATATTATTATTTTATTTTATTTATTATTACTATTATATTATTTTATTTATTTAATACTTTAATATATATATATATATATATGTATATATATGTTATTTTGTCATTATTATATTTTATTGTATACATATATATATATTTATTTATTTCTTTATCATTTTTATACAATTTTATTTTATACATATATATATTTATTTATTTCTTTATCATTATTGTTATTTTATTTTATACATATGTATATTTATTTATTATTTTTATACAATTATTATTTTAGAATATTACATGTTTCTTCAAAATTTTGGACGAAAATATTTTCGTGAAAAGATTTGACGGGATTTAGATTCTATCTATAATTTTGGTTGAATTTTTTTTCGTAAAAATTTTATGTCAGTAATTATGGCAAATTTTGTTCTGTCTCTAATTTCGTCTTTAGTTTTGAGGGAAGTTTTTTGACGTATATGATTTTCATCAAAAATTTCATCACTATTTTTAACGAAATATTTTTCGTCGATAAATTCTGTCGGTATTTGAGATTTTTCTAATAACGTCACATTTAAAAATGATTCACATTATGTAGTTTTTACATTTTAATGTTAAGGGTAGATAAGTAATTTTTAATATTTTTCTCCTTAAACCCCCCAAATTGGGAGAACTTAAATTTTAAGAAGAAGGAGAGTTTTAGAGGATTTAGTAAAAAACCTCAATTTCTTCCCTCATTTTTTTAACTCACAAACAAGGGAAGAATTTCCAAAAACCCTCCCTTCCATTCCAAAAACCATCTCCCAAACAGACCCTAAATGTTTGCACAATATCCTTTTTCTAAATCATATCATGATTTAAAAAAAATTCAATTTTTTTATGAAAAGACAAAACATTTTAATTAATATTCCAAAATTTAATGAAATAAAATTCTACCTTTCAAATTAACTTTTCAAAATTTAATAAAAAAAGAATTAAACCTTTTAAATTAAACAGGATCAAATCTTCTAAAATTGTACACTCGAAAGGAGTAATTATTTGGTAAGACATTATCACAATAACTTGTCCTCTAAAATTGTGCACTCGAAAAGAGTAATTATTTGGTAAGACAATATCACATTAACTTTTTCTTTTTCAAATCAAAAATCAAATCTTAAAAAATCTATTTAAATTAAGAAAAAATCCTTGACAAAAAAATTTATTTATTATATTTAAATAAAAAATTAAGAAAACATATTCATTTTGAACCAATTTACAAATTTATTACACTCACTTTCGCTCCTCATAGACAAAATTAGTCTCGTCCCACGGAGACAAAACACCTATAAAAGTTTCGCCACTAATCTCGCCTCACTTGGGAGAGGCTCAGTACTCCAAAGCATGCCTAAATCTAAATCTGACTAGTCGCCGAAAGCTATAAGTGACCAAAAAGCAAACAATATTATGACACAACTTCTATCTATGTCTTTTTTTGGATTTTTGATACTTATGAGCTGGAAAATAGCAAAAATCTGAAAAGCAAAGAAAATCAAACAAAAAGGGAAACAATACGCAACCTAGAATCAAAATCAGAAATACATTAGTTTTTCTTCTTTTTCCTTTTAAAATTTTTGGTTTGGGACTTTCTGTATTTTCAAATCTCAAAAACAAGAAACTGGGACTGGAATTCAAAACAAGGAATCTCAAAGGCAAATTGGAAAACTCAAACAAAAAGATAGACAATCAAAATATTTTTTTTTTCTTTTTTTTTTTTTTTTTTTTTTTTTTTGGGTCGAAGAGTTGATTGAAGACAAAACTAGAAACTGAAAAGACAAACACAATCAGCAATGCTCTGGTGTTTTCGTTTTTGCGTCCAACCAAAGCAATAAGCACTAAGTTGGCAGACAAGATGGGTTTAATCACTTTCAGATGGGTTTTGAAGAATGACAATGAAATGGGAATTCTAGGGACGTTTGGGAGAAGAGAAATTTTTATTTATCTAGGAAATAATATTACTGAAATATAGTAGAAAATATATTTTTACTGGAATGTTACTAAAAGGTGTTTGGTATGACCAAATTTTCCAAGAATTTTATGGTTAAATTTACTGAGTGTGTGTTTGGTTAATTGTTAAATATCAGTGGAAATCAGAGGTTATTTTACAAAAATAACCTCACTTTTACCTTTTGTTTGAAATATGATATTGAAGAGGTCCTTCTAACAAGGTTAATTTGGTCCATATTTTTGTGGGTCTTCTTTCACTTGCCCAGGCAAGAAGCTTTTCCATATAATCTATGGAATTTTTGAGATGGGGATTATACACAATTTCTCAAAGAAAACCAAATTCCAGGAAACATTTTGAGTCTGGAAAGTTTTTATTTTTTTCTACCAAACATAGCATTTTTATTTCCTCCACCATGGTTTCCAGGGAATTACAATATATTCCTGGTACCAAACGGCACCTAAGTGTACGATGAGAGCATTGCTAGTGGTAAAAGAGTGCTCAGACTTTGGTGAACAGAGTCTAGTCCAAGTGGGGCGAGACTAATTTCTGTTGGAAAATTCGTTCTCTCAAACTCCAATGTCAAGCGGGTCCAGGGGAAGCCCGTGGCGGGGGCCACCACCAATGAGCTAAAGCTACACCAACCGTAGCAAGTGGATCCGACACCATGTCTCAACCCAAAACCTTAAGGCATTGGGTTCATGGGTCCTTTCACTTATATACTCTTCACTTAGCTCATTACCAACCAATGTAGGACTCATCACACTTGATATCCCAACAATCTCCCCCTCAAGTGTGAAACCCACCATTGGTATGCTCCCCCCTCAACCGAGTACCCGAAGCGTAAAGTACTCGACCCGCCTCCTAGCCAGTCACTAGGCTAGCTCGAGCCCAATCCGGCTCTGATACCACTGTTGGAAAATTCGTTCCCTCAAACTCCAATGTCAAGCGGGTCCAGGGGAAGCCCGTGGCGGGGGCCACCCCCAATGAGCTAAGGTTACACCAACCGTAGCAAGTGGATCCGATACCATGTCTCAACCCAAAACCTTAAGGCATTGGGTTCACGGGTCCTTTCACTTATATACTCTTCACTTAGCTCATTACCAACCAATGTAGGACTCATCACACTTGATATCCCAACAATTTTGTGTGACTGAAGTATTAGTTTTGGTCAAGTCTGGTTTGTACCACCATTTGGTGCTACTGCTGGTTTCCTACATAGAATGTCCTATTATAATCCTCAAAATAGAAGTTGCTTTATGCCCGTTAATCAAATAACGTGACGTTAATCAAATAACCTGATTTGGACACAGGGTGCCATCAATCACAATGGTTACTCACAACCAAAGGAAGTTACATTTAACGAACTCCCAATAATTGCAATGTACGAATTAGAATGGACACACTTGAAACTATTCAATTTATGAAGACGGGGGTTACCAATTTATGCAATACCCTTTCACAACAAGAAAGCAATGCAATATAAGTTCGCCTTCTACAAATGAGAAGTGCATATCCCAGCTTAGCAGAATGAAAGATATAGACTAAGCACAATATTTTCTTCATACCAAACACAAATTAAATTCCAACTTTATGACGCTTCATTTGCATTAGCAATGTAGAAAAACGGAACTAAGGATCCATGTATCACAAAGGCTCATGAGAGATCCACCTCTTGAACATTTCAAAGCATTCCTGTGGCATGAACTCAGTGGCAACGTGACCAGCACCCTGTCACCGAGAGACACACTGCATTAATTTTCTCCCAAATCAACTGAATAATGTCAAAATCCAAACCCACCCCCCCTCCCGTTTGGGAGGAGGATATTCCAGAAAAAGAAAAATTTAGAGAAGTTTGGAAAAAGAGAATACTTTTTACTACTAAACTCTTGTTTTTTTCTTGGCTTGATACAAAATGGTAGAAAACTCATCTATTTATACTAATAGCACCCCTTAACCAATAACTAAGATTGTGCCATCACAATTTACATCTAAGGGCTATAAATTGCCTTCTAGAAAATTCTCTACAAACTCCTATACTAAACATTTATTATAGTCTCTAATTCCAACCATTCTATGGAGATATCTATAGACACATCTCTTGAATATTTGGGCATACAAAAACTACCAAAGACTATTCTAGAATTTGAGCCAACTAACTATTAACCCAAAAGAAGTTTATTTTTCAACACTCCCCAACACACACCCACCCAACCCACAAACAAAGCAAATATACTTGCCTTCACAGTGGCAAAAGTGACATAGTTGGAGTACTCTCGTATATACCTGCACGCAAAAACTTAGAAAATCATCATTTGAAACTACAGCTTACCTTGTTGAGTGCATTTTCTAAAACAATAGCTATACCCTGCAATTTGATCGCTAACGACCCAAGGTCTCCAATCATCCACAATGGTAGAGTTCAGAGAATTGAGCCACCGGAGAGTTCCCAAGTATGGCGCAACCATGTCATGGTCACCGCTATAAATAGTAATTAAAGATTGGTATTACTCTACTTAAAAAAATCTGACCCATCACTCATTCGATCAAATAATATTGTGCATTCCAATGGTGCAGCTTAAAATGTAGCAGAACCTGTATATAAGTGCTCGGCAATGTTTGGTTCTTAGATAACGATGATAGGCAATTGAACTTTCGACATCTTTTGTGTAAAACATGTTGTCGTTACATCTTATCCAAGCGTTCACAGTTCCCTGAATTTTACTTTAGCTAAAACGTTAACACATTAAAAAATAAAAAAAATACGAAGACTGATTTTTTTTTTTTCATGCAATCAACTAGGCGAATTGGAATAAATGCTTTCTTACATACCATACGGACATGCAGCGCCTTTTGAACATGAACATCGTTGGCCCATACATGAAGCAATAAATTCTTATAATTCTATAATTTGGATCGATGAATATGTCAGAATCAATCATTAATTCCAAAATTAAACACTGAGGATATGGGACTGAAAATTTGGAATTACCCTACACCCAAACTCTAAACTTTGCACGGGAGAAAGCAACAAATCCCTATATTTTTCTTGAAGAATCCTCCGATCATCCATCCTATTTTCTGGAAATTTCCTGTCAGACGGACATTTAGGCTCTAAGACGTGTCCCATATTTATGTCAACTGTTCGCTGTAAAAAGCATAGGAATAAAAATCAACCAAAGGAAGTGAATAAAAAGCCTCAAGTCCTTGTTTGATATGCAAGATAAGATTACTGACCTCTGAGATAGCTTGGAGATCCTTTTGACATGGTAGATTATCTTTCTTCACTATCACATACTCCCCTTTGCATGTCATTTTTGCTGACTAGGAAAAATTCAAGAAAACTAAGAATACTAATTCTAGTTTTCCCAGAAATATCATCTTCACTTACCTCAGTGTATGCACGAAACTTTATTCAACATAAACAGAAGTACAACTAGAATAAATTTGGGATTAACCTTGTAGAGTTCGTCAGAAATAAGAGCCATGCGATTAGCGAATGGAATCTTAGAATTCCGATCAAATTTTGGATCCGTAATTGGGTTCCCAAGCACATAACCCTGTAACAATTAATGTGAAACATTACAACTATTAAAATCTAGCTGCAGAAGAAGCTTGAATAAACATACTTTTATATTTATTTCTGGCTTTTCTCCATCTTCGTTTCCTGCAACAATATAATCACAATGTAATACTTGGTTCACAATGAGAGCTGTGATAGTTAATGTCTTAGGCATGAAATTACCATCTGAAATATATTTAACAACAATTGGCACAGGAATGCCAGAATATGAGTCACCACCAATGTAGACTGGATTAGCAATAAATTTGGGGTGACCGGTCAACCACTGCAAATAAACAAGAAATAAAGAATATATAATCCATTGGATCAAAATTGTTTCTCATTATCCTTCTCAACAATTTTTTCTTTCCTTCCAATTTCTTTGAAAAGTATTACTCTTAACAAGAAGGTTTTGACTTATATAAAACCGTGGGAAAAATGTGTATCATTTTAAAGGAGGAAAGGTTGTGTCATTTTAAGTGAATAAGAAATAGATAAAAAAGGAGAGAGAGTTGATAAAAAAATATAAAGGTGTGGGTCCCACCTCTTTGTAAGAGTAAAATAACATAAATTATATCTTTCAAAAAGACAAACATTTTTCCCTAAAAGTGTAGTAACATATATTTTGTCCTTAATTTTTTTATTATGTTGGTGTATTATTTTAAAATATTTTTCCCAATACAAATGGATTATTAGCAGTAGACAACTAAAAAATTTCACCTTTCTCATGAAATCGTGACAGTGTTGGGCATTTATTTTATCTGTAATATTAGCTCCTTCCAAGGTTCTTGAATATGAGAATCCAGTGCCAACAGGTGCATCAATAAAGATCATACTTGAAACCTTGGAAAGCATCATTATATACAGCAAAAAATCAGGAAAAAAAAAATTGCTTTATCAATTGGGTAATTAACTAGTTTCACCTACTATTTCCAAAACATACCTTTGTCCATGAGTGTTGATTGAGAGAAAATGTTGGCAAACTTCCATTATACTTCACCATATTGAACTTCAGAGGGCCTAATCAAAAGCGGCAGCAAATAGCATGAATATTTAATCCAGGCGAATTGTTAAGTATAAATTGAAATGGCTTTCTTGATTTATGCAGACCAAAAACAATGAAAAAAAGGAAGCACCTATTTCAAACCAAAGCCCGCATAAGCCAGAGCATCCTGGGCCACCGGTCATCCAGAGTACCAAAGGATCCTCTGTTGGATTTCCTTCTGATTCAACAAAATAATAAAACAGCTGCACAACTTCATCTTCACCCACACCTATGTATCTACATGCAAAAACCATTACAAATTTGTAATTCATAAACGTTGTGCATATAAATCTTTATTTTGTTCTTATTTTGTCCTTGGATCACAAGATGTGTGGGAAGTGGTCCACAAGAAGGAGTTACTCTATCCCAAGCTCAAAGGGATAGCTTGAAGGATTCAAGAAAGAGAGACAAGAAAGCTCTCTATCTCATCTATTAAGGATTGAATGAAGATGCTTTTGAGAAGATTTCGGAGGCAACTACCGCAAAGGAAAGATGGGAGAAGCTACAAACCTCTTGCAAGGGTGCTGAGCCAGTCAAGAAGGTACGTCTCCAAACTCTAAAAAGTGAGTTTGAAACTTTACACATGAAAGATACCGAAAGTATCTCCGATTATTTTTCTAGAGTCTTGACGGTGACTAATCAATTAAAAAGAAATGGTGAAAAGATAGATGAGGTAAAAATCATGGAGAAAATTTTGCGATCTTTAGATTCAAAATTCGATCATATTGTCACTGTAATAGAAGAAACAAAAGATTTGGAAGCTATGACAATAGAGCAACTCTCGGGCTCTTTACAAGTATATGAGGAGAAGCAAAAGAAGAAGTAAGGGGCAGTGTTTTAAAACCCCACCCCACCCCCCGGGTTGACCCGGGTCAACCCTGACCCCTACCCTCTGAGGGTTGGGGTTACAAGTTGGACCCTATATGCACATCGCCCTCTCCGACCCCCAAAACCCGGCCGGGTTTCAGTGACTCCCGGGTCAGAGGGGTTAAAGGGGGTCACTGCATGTTTATTTTATTTTTTTAAAAAGTTCCATGAAACAACTTCGTTTTATTAAAAAATTAAAAATAAAAATGCTTGCAAACCTAAATCTAATCGTTCTCTTCTCTCCCAGTGACCTATATGTCTTCAATCTTCACCTCGTAGACGTGAATCTTCTAGAAAAGGTAAGAATTTTATCTATTCAGATGAAATCCTTACGGTCGTCGATGGAAAACAAAAACTCATTCTTAATTCCTTTAAATTTTTCTTTGTCAGGGACCTTCTCCAAAGAGGCAGAACCGGGTCATCGTATTGACCCCATTAGAATATGAGTTTTGTACTTTGGTATCTTGATACTTTAATTAGGTTGTGTAATATTGACTTGTGATTGTAATTAGAGAATTATGTTAAGTATATTTTGAATCTTTGATAATTAGTGGTTTGTTTTTTAATATTTTTATATATGATATATATATTCATATATTTTTAATATATAAAACCGGGTCAGCATAGTTACCCCGTGACCCCCCGGTTGAACCCGTGACTCCATGACCCCTTACCTCGGCCGGGTCGATGGCCGGGCCGGGTTTTTAAACACTGGTAAGGGGTTGGTGAACAATTACTCAAGACATAACTCAACTTCAAAGAAAAGGAAGAAGACTTTGACAACACAAGAGGACGAGGAGGATATCGTGGTCGAGGAAGATGTCGTGGACATGGAAGAGTAGGCTTCAACAACAACTATGTCAATGAAGATCGAAGAGAGAGCTCAACAAGAGGTCGTGGAAGAGGTGGCTCGCAACCAACACGTGACAAGTCTCAAATCAAATGCTACAGCTGTCAAAGGTTCGACCATTATGCTTATGAATGTAGAACTCCTACAAGAAAAATTGAGGAGAAAACGAACTATGTGGAGGAAATGAGTCAAGAAGATGGCACTCTGTTGATGGTACGCAATGACAATGCAGGAGAACAAGAGAATACATGGTATCTAGACTCGGGAGCAAGCAATCCAGAATCAGAACTCGATATCCAAAATGAATTGGAGTCAGAGAAATCAGAGACTATGGAAGAAGAAGAAGAACATCAAGCTGAAACTGAAGCTGAAGCTGATAATATTGATGATATGAAAGAAATTACATAAGCTGCTGAGTGGATAAATAAATCCGATTTGATGAAAGAACATGAAGAAAAAAGAGGAAGAGAAGGTGACAGCGAGCGTAGTGGTGATCCTGACGACGTCGATGATGATGATGAGGAACGTGAGGAAGAAGAGGAGAATGAAGCAGTATTAACACTAACAGAATCAAAGATAGAACCCCAAAGAAATTTCATATTGGATGAAACAATGACAACCATGAAAAAGCATATAGCAACTGAAGAAATGAAAGTTGAAGGCGTATTCTTTAGAAATGTTGATGACTCAGAAAGGCAGACAGTTCGAGAAGGAAATGATCAAACTCCTCCACCAAGTCCTACTCCAACAACTCTTGCATCTACACCATCCACAGGAAGAAGCAACAGCAACAAAGAAATCAAACAGAAAGTGAAGCCAAGGAGCAGTAGCAACAAGTCAGGGGGAGTACCAACAAAGAAGACAAACAAAGGAGAAATAATTTCAATAAAAGAAAAACAAGCTCTCGTTGATGTGCCAGAAAAGCAAAAGAAAGAAGATTTTGGAGAATGAGCAAAAGGAAAAACCAAGGATTACTTGGTCAAATTTAGCAGAGATCGTGTATGTACCGGAGACGCCACAAACACCGATAATGATTGTTTATCTTCCACCAATCCCAAAGCCACCGGACAAATGTGTTCCACAAAATATAATTGGTTTACAAAATCAAGTTTAAGGGGGTCTTGAATAAATAAATCTGATTTAGTTTTTGGTCCATTGGGCTTAGTATACATTTAGCCCAACATCTAGAAATATCCAAGAGATATCTAGCCTAAATTCTAGAATAATCAACTCTAGATGTCTCCATCAAAATATCTAGAGAATAGTTGTATTTAGAAACCACCATCATAAATATCTAAGCTAGGAGATTATAGAAAATTCTAGAGAATAATTTGTAGCCCTTAGTTAAGAATTGTGTTAGCACAATCCTAGCCATTGGTTAAGGAGGTGCCACTAGTATAAATAAGTGTGTCCTCCATCATTAATTACTAGAAAAATCCTGTATAGCGAGGGAATTGCTATGCAAATTCCGTCGCTAATTCCATCCTCGCTACTACTTTCCCTCGCAAAATCGTTTGCGAGGGAATTTGCGAGGAAAAGTAGTAGCGAGGATGAAATTAGCGATAGAATTTTTATAACAATTCCCTCACTATACAGGATTTTTCTAGTTGTCATTTTGTAAAAAAGTCAAAAAGCCAAAAAGAAAAAAGAGTTGTGCAGCCATAAAAATATTCTCTTCTTCCATATCTTTCTATAACCTTTACTTTTTTCAAATATCCTCCTCCCAACAGTGTGGATATTGCACCCTAATTTCACCCAAAAATGAAGCAGTGAGAACCAAACTCGTTGACCATTAAAGTTATGATATCTCGAATTCAATTCAAAAACTTAAGTTGTTTGCGGTTTATATTACTCTCTAACATTATTCATCATAATAAAGAGGCAATTGTTAAATGGAGCCAGTAACTCTTTCTTTTCCATTTAAATTTGAGTTGTTATATAAGTATGGTGGAATCTGATGAAGAAGTGAAAAGGACAAAGGAAGTGAATGGCAAACTCACCCAGTCTCTAATTTGAAAGGAAGGGAACCAGAAAACCCTGGCAAAGACCTGATGATATTTGAAGACTCTGCAGGCTTTGACAAGATCGTCATCGTGCTGATTAAAAAAGATAACCACATGAAACATTTTGTAACATAAGACATTGACTTTGTTAAACTAAGACTAAATGACTCTGCTGTTCTCTCCATGGTCCTCGTTCCGCAACTGAAGATGGGAGACAATAGCATGATCAAGATATATAGCTGATAAGAATCAATATCAAATATAAAAGTGTGTTAATAGTTTTCTATTATTCTCTCTCCTCCTTCTTCCTGTCTCTCTCCTCTCTCCTCTCTCTCTATGGGGTGCAGGCTCTGGGACCACTCGTTATTCTCCTTGTCGTCCTCGTGTTAGGTATATATAATAAAGTAATTGCATGTACCTGTTAAGAAAAGGAATAATATAATATAAAAGTATATTCAGCCAATGGTTTAAGCTTTAGCGATAAATTAGTTATATGAACTAATACCAAAGCGCACGAGGGACTGTATTAAGTAAAAATATCTAATAATCTACACATAATCATTTAAGTTGTTGGGAGAATTAATTGCATAACATTAAGAGTAAACATTCTTTTTAGTCCGTGTCAATATCTACGAAGTCCTTTTTAGTCTCTGGCAATAAAAAAGGACCAAATTGGTCCCTGAAATTACAAAAAAGGGTCATGTTAGTCCTTATGTCAACTCCCAAATATGTAGAGTGACCCTTTTCTTGTACTTTCAGAGACCAATTTGGTCCTTTTTTATTGTCAGGAACTGAAAATGACTTCGTAGATATTGTCAGGGACTAAAAAAAGTGTTTACTCTATCATTAATCTAGTATCTACCGTACGCGTAAGAAGGAGTGGCTGATAATAAGCTACGTTAGCATCTACTGTGTCGACATAAATACATAATCGTGATTGGGAAGCTGGACCTGAGCGAACCGCAAGACAGTGTTTGATTCGGTGGAATCTGGATATCATGCTCTTCAGAAATGCCAGCCATGAGTAAATGATAAAAAAATTTAATTGGTGGGGTTCACGAGCACAGCACAAGGAATAAATTTTTTATGTTACTATTGCACCAAAGATTCAGTGTATCTGATCAATAAAAATATTACATGTCAATCAAATTTTTGTTTTCTCTGCCAAATTCTTTCTCTCTCTTCTGATATGTAATATTCTCATTGATGAGATGCACTCAGTCTAAATGCAACAGATGCACCAAAGATTTATTCTTTATTAAGGCACTTATATCTATTATTTGTATTCGCTGATTCAGATGACAAAAAATGAACGTACCGTTAGAATTTTTTATAATTATTGTAGGTTTCAATCAATAGTAATTTTTCTTATTTGATAAAAAAGAGATAAGTCATGATTTATATAGGAGTGCAGTATAAAGCCTATTTAATTAAGTGTTTCTTTGCTTTGGGCTTGAATATCTATAAACTGATTAGTGTGTGTAATAATAAAGGTCTAATTCATAGGCCCATGTTGGGAAGAGAACTAAAGTTAATAAGTTTGGCTAGGTCCCTCTACATCCACAGTTTGTGAACAACGATTTAGTTGAACAATCGAATTTGAGATGAAAAGAAAGAAAATCAAGAACAAGTAAGAACGTGCAATCCTAGAATATAAAGCAAGCAAAGAAAAAGAATTTGGTTTTGAAAATAAAAAAAACACAGTTAAGATTTCGATTTCCCCCAATATCCTTCTTATGTTATGTATTAAACAATCAAATAATCGCCCTTAATATAATGTCAATCAATTCCTCTAAAGTAATTAAGGTTCAATCCCTTGTTACCTTAATTCTATGTAATCTTGAAAGAATCCTAGTTTCCCGGTTGTTCACGAACAAGAATCTAAAGATTGCATAATTATCCTATGTCTATCCCTAGATCACAAGTATTATGATGTTTTTTAAATCAGGATTTATGCACCAACATCCTTATTGTCATACAATTACCCTAAATCAATCGATTTACAAGGAGCAAACTCATAGAAACCATTAAATATAGATAAATTTATTCAATTATAAAAAGGAAAATTACAGAGACAATTTAGTCCATCAACATAATAACTCAATTGGGTTCCATCTACTTTTAACTACATAAAAATCTAGCCTAACATAGCGAAATCAAAGACAAGAAAAAGTAAAGAAAATCCTCCAAACTCCATTTGTGTGATGGTGTGAAGAATCCTCAAAACTCCCAGTTTTTTTTTTTTTTTAATTCAAACCGCTCCTGAAGCTCCAAAGCATGAAAGACGTCCAAAGTAGGATTTGCTCTTCTCAATTGTTCAAAAGCTCCTCTCTTTCTGAATGTGCCACCTTTTTATAGTGATGAAACCATATCTTTTAATTTCCCATAATATCTTCAATGGAATCTTTACTATAATCTCCAATCATATCTTTAATCAAATCTTTAAAATATTCTCTTTTATACTTAAGGGAAACAATTTCTTTAAAAATAGTCAAGATAATCTTCAATAGAAATTCAAAATAAATCAACTTAAGCTCTCCAATTTATTTATTTTTTTGAGCTGAAAATTACTGCAAAATTTAAGAATTTTTATGGAAATATTACTGAGAATAAAATAACACTTTAATTATAATTCTCATAAATTTTAATTATTTTTAAATCAATTTCATGCTCATATTAACTCTTAATAAATAAAAAATTGGAGACTCATCATTTGTAAACCAGCCATATACTTATTTGTGAACTTTAATTAGAAAATAGAAATTGATATTTTTTATCACACTTCATGATAATAGTGATAGATTTTCATTTTATTTTATGTTTAAATAGATTTTCTATACACTTATTGTATTTTGCATCGAACCCAGATAAGTAGTGGCGAAGCTAGGCTCTAATTTGAGCCCGAGCCAAAAAATTATTTGTGTATTTATTTTTCTTAATTTTAGTTAGTTCGTATCATAATATATTTAAATTATATTAAATATAGAGCATCTGAGCAGGCAACATCAAGAAGAGTTATAATTTTATTAAATAGGTTATAATTTTACTAAAAATATTTTATTTTTTTATACTAGTGGAAATTGAACACATATCCTAATACAACTTATCCTAATCTCTTATCAAAAATATTTTAAGTTTTAGATAGAGACAAATTACAAATTGTAGCTCGAGCCAAATTTTAAATTTAACCCGGGTCAAATTATAATTAATTATATAATTATATATAATAAGTATAATTTGTTAAAATTTAGCCTGGGCCGAGGCCACACCCAGGTTGTATGTGGCTTCGCCACTGCAGATAAGGTTCAGTGGCATTACTGTTCAATTACTTATGATAATTGAAACTAGGAATTTAAAACAATTGGAGAATATGTGGATGAGCATTTACGAAATTATTTGATTCATCACATGTGAGCCATCCTTTATGCTTTCCAACATCATATATATTTTTTATTTAATCTTCATTATTATGACAAAAATATTTAATATATATGATCTGAGTAGACCAAGACAGGATAGGTCAAACCACACACGGTTGAAGGTTGAAGATTATGGGCCTTGGAACCGTTGTAAGTTAGTTTGAAACTATGGTGGAATGGACTTCTCTTTGGATTGGTTGTGTTATGACTCTGGCGATATAGATGATACTAGGGAGTACCTGCAAAGACACTTTGGACGCTCAAGTCAATATCAATGCGAGGTGTATATACTTTTTTAACTGTGAGATATCCGTACTTGGGATTGTTCCCTTTTGTATTTATAGTGTGCTTTGTGCCATCCTTTGTAGGTGGCATCTCTTCTTATCGGTAATTTAGGGTGGTTGCCCTTCTCTCGCAATTGTTACCCTGCAGGCTACTCCTTGATGAACAAGTCTAGATGCTAGTCTGCTTTCTTAGAGTGGTGATAAGATGGAGCTGCCTCGTCTATACTGGTTCTCATACGCGGTGGACTTTATGGGATTTCAATGTCCTTTCTTAGCCCTTAAGTTTTGCCTAGCGACTTAGTATGATAGTCTGCCTAATGAGTCTATCTTGCGCAATAAGAGTGGTCCGCACAATGTGGACATTGGGCCCACCGGCTTGGGTCCCTTATGAGCCTCTAACTATAGGGCCTATATGTTATCCGGATCAGTAGCCCCCCAGCTCGCGCTTTATGCTTGCCAGCGAAGAATATGTCTCTTGATTTCTTCTGTAACGCGCAAGTATTATCTATTTGCTTACTTACACTTTGCCAATCTTCGTTACTTTAAATTCTGTCATTAGCTAACTGCAACACCCCGTGTATACTCGGTTTGTTAACATGTCATCGTATTAAGCCATGCTTAATTAAAATGCGGAATAACTTTTTCTTTTCAATTATGACATCATTAATATTACCAAGTTGATTACTTAATCCTTTTAAAAACATTGCCTGTATATAATTGCAAATAGACATCTATCTACACTGAATAACCTCATAATATAAATATGTGAGTATCTAAGTCACGGGTCTACAACACGTAGTCTGGATAATAATCCTGATACATTAATACATCTCAAACCTAAAACAAGACATAGTCAAATCAATGTGGCATGGACAATCCTCATGCTCACCAAATAAGGCAACATAGCCCAACATAGTCTCAGCTCAATAATCAACATAAAGACAATAAACAGAAACATCATCCAATCATATCATCATAGCAGATATACAACAGTCAACTCAACTCCGGCCTCCTGCCGCCCGAGGTCTCAACCCCAGAGTTACCTGAACCTGAAATATGTGCCCCAAACGTGCGGTGAGATCTCTAAACAGAAATCGCAGCAAGGCAAGGGGTCATCAAGGATTTCTCCACCCTAAGCTCACTTACATGTGCAATATAAGTTCAAAAGCAGTATAACAGTACAAGTTCCAAAATCAGTGCAATGCAGCAGAATAATCATGTCATGTGTGTCATCTATTCTACTGGCCAGAGAAATGCAGGACTTAGATACGTCTATTGCCTACATTCAGTGCAAGTCACTACTTACACCCACTCACATAATCACCCTATGGCATGTCTCATACATACACAGGCTTACCGTCTAGGTTGAACAACACATGCATATTATAAGCAGTTGCACAATAATAGCTCAACAACATCTCGAAAACAATACATGAAAACACATCATGCATATCAACCATCCCCCCATGGGGTATGGTGGAACAAACAATTGTTAAACCGAGGACGCGAAAGCTTACCTCTAAGAAATCAATCCAATCCAAGGTCCACACAAGCTCAAAGTCCACAAATAGCAGAATCACAATCTATTTTAGACTAGCAATATCAT